AAGAGGACAAATTTTATCTTGCCTTATGAGGTGTGGTTCAGACTCTTCACCCAAAAAAAAGGATAGATGGTTTCTTCTGATCTGCCCTAATTTTCTGCCAACACCTACAGCAGTGTTTTAATGCCTCTTCACAGTTTTTGCATCCTAGCACAACGGGAAATAATAGTAGCAGGAATTTATTTATTTCCCACTAAGGCCAGGGAGAGCAGCAGTTCCGATTTTCTTTTTTATGCTGTCTTTTCAACTAAAGACTATGGATTTTCTTCCATCCCTGTACTAACAATCTTTTGGTAGGATATACGTGTAAGTGGGAAGACTCTAGTCTACTCTATTCCTTATCTATATTTAAGCACAGATCAATATGAGGATGGATGGGAAGTGAGAAACCGTGCTGAATAAGCTCATCTCCAGTTTCGGTGAATCTCCTCATTGGGAAAAAAATCTACCTTAAATTTAGTCTATTGCAATCTCTTTGTATTATGTTTTGTACACCAGTGAATATTTCTTCTCTTTTCCTATTCCCTCTCTAAAGTATAATTTCCCATGTGCAAATAAATAGCCTCTTACTGGAGGAAAAAAAAAAAAAAGAAAAAAAAGAAAAAAAAAAAAGAGGACTGTCTGAGCATAGACAGTAGTAATAAGAAACATGTTATTTCATTTGTAAAAGAGCTTTCTGACATTGGTTTAAGCAGCCCACAGTGCTAGAAAAAATGGTTGTACTAAACCACATACTAAAATGTAAAAAATTTTTATGTCTGCAGCTAGTTTCTACTGGTTAAATGCTATTAAAAAAAAAAAAACTCTATATTAAAGAAATTGAGCTTAAGGGATGTTTATTCATAATTTAAACCAGTTAATAATAGAAAAGTGATATGGAAAGAAACTGATACTCCATATTTCCATTAAATTGAAAATCGTGATTAATAGTCCATGCTTCACAAAACAAGAAGCTAGATCTTTTAAAGCCAGATCTTGCACTTTCATGTATTTGCATTTTAAGGAGAAATACAGACTTATAAATGTTATTCAAGATGCCAGATCACTAAAATACTATTTGAAAGATCCTGACAAGATCTTTCTTAGGGATACCTAGAGGACAGGATATGAAAATAAATGCTAGGTGCTGTGATAATGCTAGGTCCAATGGAGGTTCTCACAGAATTTTAGGCACCTGACAGTATCACTTTTCTGCCATTTGAAGTACTAGCAGTACTTTCTTATTATTTAATAAAATGACTATTATTCTGCCTTTTATTCCTTACTAGATAAAATGCTTCATAAAATAGGTGTTGGTTTTTTATTTTAATTTTTATTGTTTGTTAGTGTTTTTTTTTTTAAGATTATTAAGTAAACCAGAAAATATGAAGTTAAGTATCATAAACAGTTAACACTCCATTTTAGTCCACAACATAAAATATGCAATTAATAGAAAACAGTAGACAAGTGTACACAATTAATAATTAATTCAAATTAACGATCTCTGTCCTTTAATAATAAATGTTACACATTCCTTCTTATATATTTCTAATTAATGCATGTTCAGCGTAGCTACAATTATGCAATTTGTAATTACTATTAAGAACTTTATGAACTCAAGAAGCTTTTCTAAACACCAATAAAACTTTCTAACATTAACAAGTATTTTAAGATATGGATAGGCAGATAGATTTCTTTTCGAGGTCACCAGTGTATTATTCCATTATCTACACACACAAAAGGAGAGAAGTCAAAAATCAAAAGTATCTTACTGTATTGCAAAGGGAACCTATGAGATTTTTAACCATAAAACTAATTTAGCACAGCAACATCAATGTAAAACTCCAGACATCTGGACTTTACACCATATGATCCTGTAGAAAATGTCAAAACACACCTATAAGCCCACCTGTTCCTCAGTAACCCTGAAGGATCAGATGTCAGAGCTGACATCAAAACAGGTAGATCTGAACCTCCTGAAGTGTACCTTTGCTTTAATTTCCTGTGCAGTGTAGCCTTCCAGGAAGGAAATGAAATACTTCATTGTTTTCTACAACACTATAAAATAGTATAGATTAGATTAATTCAGAAATATCACAAGAAGCAGTTTTTTTTCTTTTTTCTCCTCTGGGAGAAGGGAAGGGAAGAGAAGCCTGAAATGCAAAGAGGTAACTGTTCAATATTTGAAGAAAAATCAATTTCAAGAGAATGAATGTCTAGTTACTGAAGGAAAGAATGATTATGTGAAGAAAAATTAAAAAAAAAAAAAAAAAAGAAAGCAAGAAAGAAAAAGGAACATACAGATTTCACAAAGGAAATGTAACTAAGAGATGTCCAGAGTTAAAGGCAATATATGAAAGCTCCAAGGAGTAGAGTAGGATGGTGAGTACAAAAATATTCATGTTTATGGCAAGCATATAGAAGAAATTATTAGAAATTGAAGATGAGAAAGTGGAATCTTCCTTTACCAAAAATGTATTAATATTTTTATGATCAAATAACACAATCGGTTTTAAAAGAAGTAGCACTTAAATGCATGAAGAAACCAGGTTCAGTGGCTTAACGTGTCTCAGAATGTGCTGTTCTTCAGAAGATACTAAGACCCCCTCTGACAAGGACTGGTTCTTGGTATACTTTGAGCTCCTACAAATTCAGTGCCAAAAAAGATGCAAACAGCTAATTCAGAGCAGAATTTTGCACATGTTTTTACACTGCTGCAAGTTTAGAGGAGACTGTTTACAGCAAATGCATTTCATTTTTCATTCAGAATATGTTCCTCTGTATCTGTGGAAGGCAGAAGATCTTGCAGTCTGTTTCCTGTATGCTCCCTGATGAATAAGGTAGCAAAGGGCAGGCTGAGAAGGGGAAGGAAGGATTAAGATGAGGACAGTGGGTTTTGAGGAGGCTGGGGGCACAAGATCTGGAGTTCCTGTATGGGGAAAAAGGGCTCTGCAGGTGGAGCAAGAGGCACACCTTTGAATAGCTCATGTGTTGTAACAGAAAAAAGGCTTCCTCTTTCTTTACCATCACAAGAAAATATGTGAAGATATAGCTCTTCACTGCCTGAAGTTGAACCTATATTGGCAATGATAATGAATAAAACACAGGAAACTAGAATAAAGACAGATAAAAAAAGGGGAGCAGCAACACAGAAAATGAAAATCCATGAGAGATCGCTCCTGCAGCAACACCAATTGATTTTTCTAACAGTGATAACTGCTAATGCATTAGAGTGCAATGTGTTGAGAAAGCAGGACTTCAGGCACCAAAGTAATAAGTATCAAATATAAGGTAAGCCACTATTACATATACTAAGAATATTAACATCCATGTCTTGGAAGAGTTCCATGATGGAACCAAACAGTCAAGTTTTATTTTATGTTAGTTATTGCCAGCTTATAAATTCATAGTTTAAAATTTACTCTAGATGCAGCATTTGTCATTCCTACAAAAATTATGGAGAAAGCAGCTAAAATTGTGATGCAATAGGTGACTTCCCACACTTTAATATTCAAAAAACGTTTACTTATAAAGATCTATTTCTGTCTTTGAATTTGCTGGAATAATTTTTCTGCCATCAACAGAAATTTTTCCATGATCATTTCACAGAAGCAATGAACTAATGAGTAGTTTCAGAGCTTTTTCTTAGAAACAACAGGAAAATGCATGCTTTTTTTAGTTTTGCTCTTCAGTTTCAAGCCTTTATTTCCTGTGCACACATGAATTGTTCAAAAGTGACTTTCTAAGATGAAACAAGAAATCTCAGCCATTGCATATTAAAAAAATAAAATAAAAAAAGTTTTGCAATTGTTATAGGATTGCATAGGTTGTGGGTTTTTTTTTAAAGATGCATTAAAGACTATAAAGCTTATTTTGGTGTTGTGTTGCATTCCTACCTATGTATACATCAAGATCTAGCTCAAACCACCTTCACACTTAATATTAGGTCTCTTTGTTCCTTTAGAAAATACATAGAACCAGTTTTAGCCTCATAAATAAATCACCAGTCTTGAATCACATAATCTAAGCATCTGAAGCATCTGTCATGTTACATGTGCCTATTACTGGTATTTGATAAGAACGCATTTACCTATCTTTCTTACCATTTCAGCAAGTAACAGGATGAAAAGCTTAAGGTACACAAGGGATATGTATAAGTAGTGAGCATGCCAGACATTACTAAGCACCTTATAGACCTGATTCACTTCTCTGTTTCATACTAGTGGAACTCCTGGAAAATTCATGGAGAATGTATATGCTCACAAAATCTTAAAAAAAAAAAAAAAAAAAAAAAAAAAGGTAGGCCCCTGTATTTGTACTGTATTTCAAGATAATCAAACAGTTAATGATTTCAGTTCAAAGAAGTTTGTAAAGTTTGTAGGAGCCGGAGCTCTTTCTGACATGTTTTTCATCCTTAGTGCTGATTTGAGGTATTTTCTTTGGGTCTGGTAACTCAAGGCTTTGGAATTAAGTTACAATATATGTTTAAAGTTCCTCATCCCTTGACTTCTTCATGTTAACTCAGACTCTTTTTCTTCAAATAATACAGTAAAAGCATTTCTAAATGTCAGTGATATTAAGAAGTGTGCACAGTTTAACCTTTTAAAAGTAAGCAAAATTATAGCTTGAGGTGCCTTAAAAAAGGGAATAACCGAAGTTAAAAAAAAAAAAAAGTTAATTGCTTTTAACCTTTTTAAGATTTTCTGCATCTTTTATAAACCAAATTTATTTTTTAATTCTTATAGCCAAGTTATAATCCTGCTAAAATACTAAAACACTAAGAGGTGCTAGTAGAAGAACATGCAAGAATCACTGTAATGTTTGGATAGCTAGCCAGAATCAGTTGCAATTCAGAACAATTTCCTCACACATACCTTGTTCATTCCACTAGCAATGATAATGATTCAGCAAGGATTCAGATACAGATCTTAAAAGTATGTTACAGCTCAAGAATGAAACTCTTCCTCACATTCCATTTGCAATGTAGGTCAAAAAATAAAACCAAAGCACAAAACATGACTTACTTCCAGTATGATCAGCACATAGACACCAACTAAGATGATGGATGCAATTGTTACTTGTGCCTCTATATTAGCATGAAGGTATTGATGTTTCATGGAGAGAGGAACGCTTCCAGGCTCCTGCAGGAAAGCTTGAATGTTTATGAAGATGGTGCCTCTGGGGAAAGGAAAAAAAGTTTTGTTTTTATTCTGTAATGACAACTCATTCATTTTACTTATGCATTAATTTTATATTAAGAATCTATAAATATGTGTTATATTTTTGCAATTACAAGCAACTTTTCAAATATTTTCACTTTATCCCTCTAGATAGCTTTGCTTGGAAGATAACTCAGCAAGCCACCCTTGGAAATGCATTTAAACAGCAAAGGAGGTGTCATGCTTTCCTGCCCCTCTGAAACAGTCAGTGACAGATTATTTTTAGAATGTTATCTTATTCTTTGGCAGTCAAGTCTATGTAAACTTCAATGGTTTGTTTCTCAGTCTTGTAGCCAACCTGTTTGGCATCTGAAAGGTTCTAGTTGTGATGATTTGCTGATTTCTTCTTGAACTTAAAGGTAGAGACCAGTTGTACACCACCTGCAAAAGGGTCAGATTTGGTGATATTAGTAAAAATCAGTGAAAGTGATAAACCTCTGTTCTGGCTTTTATTCTTCATTCTATCTCCTTTGCAGCTTGGAGGATTTTTATGGACAGGAGATCAGACACACCACCCTAAATTCATTCCACTTTGTTAGTTATGTTAACAGCCTTCAGCAAGTTTATCCTCATCCCCTCGTTCTATGAGTGAAGCTGGAAACAACTCCAGGAGATGCTCTAGAGAGGGGAGACCACATCACACTTTCTGTTTGGCTTTAGGGAATATCTAGGGCAGCTAGGCTCCTCACCTAAGCATCTCAGCTAGATGACACAACACAAGGGTACTGTGGGCATTTCCACACTGCAAGAGCCACAAATCCCAGGAGCAATCCCAAACTTCCAGACAATTGGTACAGAGTTTCTGAATTTTGCACAGTCCTCTTTGACCTGCAACACAAACTGCTGGGTACTTAGGACAGGTGTCCTCCAGGCTCTGAGTGGTGCCCTTGTGGCCCAAGATATTTTTTCTTAAATTCAAATGGCTTGGGAGAGAAAAAAAAAAATTACAGACAGTCAGTGTGGTGCTTTTACATTATGATGCTAAAGATACTCTTTCTTGGCAGGTTTAAGGTAGAGGACCTGCCAGGAGAGCATTAGATGACTACATAAGGGAAAACAGCCAAAGTTGCTGAAGTGTCCATTGTCCTCCCACAGGCAATAGTCCCTGGAGTGACCTGTCATCTAAGCCATAGAAAAGACAATGTGGTTTGCTCCTAAAGACTGCCTAGGAAGAAAACTAACAGACATAAGGTACAGATGATGAGAAGCCCAACAGCTAGATCCTACCCCCAGACATTATGAAGAGTACATGCTAGAATTTCAGCAAACAGAAACAGAATTCCTTCCCTTGCTGATCTAGGAAGAGGAATGAGAGAGAAGAACAAGAGCAAGGAGAGTGAAAAGAGCCTCAGAAAATAAAACACTGAAACTTTACCCACTAAAATACACTGATATACTGGCAAACTTAGTCAAATGTCATTACATACAGATACATAATTTATTTTTTTAAGAAAATAAATGTAAATAAATGTAAGATTCCATTAATTGTAGTGTAAATCCTGAATCTGTCTTGACCCTATGTGCTACAAATTGCAGAAGAAAAACAAACAAACAACAACAAAAAAAAAAAAAACAGCATAATCATCCAACTTGGAACCTCTGATGCAGAGAAATGCCTGAGGAGCACGCAGACAGAGAAAGTCGTTCTGAGTAGCATAATCTGGCCATGTCAGGACCACCACTGGAGTGCCAGCGGGAGGTGGGCTGCTACAACAAACTGTGCTCTGGCTACCTGCAGCAGTGCGAAGGCTCCTTGGGGATCACTGCCAGCAGCATTCTCCACATCAGGGAGTTCAGTGGTTTAAGGGTGTAATTGCCATTATCATATTGTTTGGCACACCGAGGTAGTGGGATTAATCCTTCTCTGTAGCCTGTGGTATTGGGTGTAAGTGGGCATACCGTTGACGTTATTCAGCTAAATTATCACTGGTACAGGACACCACCTTTACAGAATGAGAAGCAGCAGTTCGTATGCCAATACTATTTATTAAATGATGAAGCTTATTTTCATTGTTCAGTGATACACAATGACACCTCATAAAGGATCCTCCTTCACTGAGTTCTCAGGAAGGGAGCAGCAGGAAGTTGCTACAGACAACATCAGCAATGAAAAAGCCTTAAGAGAAAAAAAGCCAATAAGTGTGACAACTTGCCTGAGAAAATAATTTGCAACAAAATGTGAAAATGTATTTCAGTGAGTGCAAAAAGACACTTTACACTTGTTTCTTCTTCCTAAGACAGTTTTTGAAATATTGCCAACTTTTAACACTTGAACTTTCATGCAAGATGTCAGTCAAGAGATATCAGGTTTAGAAAATTTTGATTGGAAGTTAAGGAAAGTCTTGCAAAGGCTTATTCTAATTATTTTTCTAATAATTTTTCCAATGCTGACCTTCACACAGGTTTTCCCACAGGGAAAAGCATGACCAACTAATGCACATACCAATGACGGAAATACAAAAGATAAAACGCATCTCAGAATAAGTGAAAGAAAATGCAAAGGCCATCACCTGCTGCTGGTGTCTCCTCCTTGGGACAGCATCTTCAGTCTGGCTGATTTGCACTAAAATGTATTCCTCTGTTTGCTCATCCTCTACATCTGCTACAAATGGACCTCCAAGGTCTAACCTCAACAGAGCAGAATCATGAAAATCTGTCAGATTCATAGCTGTTAATAAGGTTGTTAAGGTTTGAATTTCCAGTAAAAATGAGTATAAATTGTACCAACTCCAGAAGAAAAAAAGGCAACAAACCACATTCACCTAAATTAATCAAGAAATTATGAAAAGAACAAAACAAACATTTTCTTCTTCAGCAAGTAACACTGTTTTAGCCTGGTTTCCTAAGGAAACAGAATTTACAGGATCACAATACTTCTGTCCTTTCCTAGCAACTTTTAAGATCAATCAGTTTCAGCTGACATTGCAGATCTACCAAAGCTCCAAAAGAGTGTATGGAAATATGCAGAGAGACTGAGAAAGTTCTTTAAGTGTTTGTATAGATGAAAGGCTGCATCATTAGCTCAGAAATTTAAACATCACAGAAATTGTACTGGGAAAAATACTGTGTAAGCTACAACCACATGGGAAACTAAATCAGAATCAATGCCCCATTCATGATGGAGAATTTGCTTTTTGGCCAAAACTTCATTCACAAGTTTGCTAACATCTAAAAACATATATTCAGCTTCTGCCAGAATACTCATGGTCTCTTTCTCCTCCAGCTCCTTTTCTACTTTTTCTTTCTCAGGTATAGCATGAGGTGTGGTCAAACTACATTTCTAGTCTAATATAATTAAGAAATCAGCCAACAGTGAGAGACAAATCCATTAACTATATATTTATTTATTTATTTAAATAAAAATTAAAAAGCCTAGCATTACTTATCCAATGTATCTAGGACTATTTAGACTCAGTATTGTTAGGAGTTCATTTTTGGCTTGGATGAGAAAGAATTATCCCTGGAGGCCTGGAGAAAAAGGAAAACCTGAGCTTTGAAAGCCCTCACAGACTTTAAAAAGGCTACAACAGAGAGACAGTGGAATTGTTTTGCAGCTGCCTGTGATGAGGTAGAGAGCAAAAGCATCATCAATATATGTGTGTATATTTATGGATATATATGGGTAAGATGAGAAAGAAGACACTTGACTTTACACATATATGCCCTGTTGAAATCACGCAACTCAGACACATGCTTGAGTATCCTAACAGCCTTAACTTCTGACTTCAGTGCATTGCAAGGTGATATAAATTTCACCCTGCTTAGTTTGGCAAGTCTGAACTTGCCAAACTCTTGAACCACCTCTGTTCACACACTGTTCGTCAAGAATGACCCACCCAGCCAGCTCCAGACATCTATTTGCTTAAAGAAATTGCATAGGAAACCACAGAAAATAACCCCAGATGCAACAAACTTGGAAACTAATTCCAGACAAGATAATTTACACGCGCAGCCCTTAGCAAACATAAATATAAATTAGTACAGTTCCCTTCCCTTTCTAAAGGTTTTAAGTGTGACTTGGCACCATAGTTTTTTGGTGTCCTAATATATGATATTAGTGTCCACTGGAACTAAATGTATACCTTTAGCTAGAGACATTAATTATACTTTCTAAGAGGCCTGCTGACCTGAAGTCATTAACCCAATGATTTGGGACACCTCTTGACAGTCTGCTTTTTATTAGAAGTGTAGCCAGTAATTTATGTCTCAAAAAGCTTCAGGTGCATATAATTATGGCAGCTCCCTTTTAAGCAATACTTTTAAAATAAATCCTGTAATTACTCAGATGACACATTCAGAAGCTATTATAAAGGATGCTTGAAATTAAAGGGGGAAAAATGAAACCTTATTTCCAAGAAGAGTTCTTCCTTCCTTCTTTTCCTGTGAAGATGAGGATACTTTAGATGTTTTTTCCATTCCTTTCTGTGCATTGTGCATTTATAAAACTATCAAAAAAAAAAAAAAGGTTCTCCTTTGATTGCAAGTGGAACTGAACATCATTCACTGATCTGCAATGAGGCACTTAGAGCTAAAATCCCATCAGAGTTATCTTTCTCCAAAAAAAATATTTAGAGACTCTGTCATAATTCCATTGTTAGACTGCAGCAGATCACAGCCTTTATGAAAGGTAGAATCAAACTAACCTGGGAGAAAACTTCAGCCATGTTTTGATAAGTCAAAATGCACTTTTTTTTTACCAGGCAGCTCCTCAGAATAGTTTTGTTCTGCCTTATCTTGGTTTTATATTGCCCTTAAATTGCCAGAATGTGATCTCTTCTCCATTTCAATCATTCAGATGTGACTTCAACTTTTGGGAAAACTATCTTTTTACTTCTAGCATCCCCTCTTACTCTGCAATTTAACCGTGCTGGTACTTTTTTTCTGTTCTTAACATTTTTTGCAGTATTTGCCTTTAAAGAAAAAAAAAAATCTCCCTGACAAGATTTACAGCTGGAGTTGTTATTTTTTATTTCACTTCAGCTAAGCTGCCTCATTTTTCTTTAGTTCCATTCTTGAAATTATATTACTGCTGTGAATTATCCTGTCAAGGGATTTTGGTTTGCATATGCTTTGTGCACTATTACACAGTGGCTCTCTGTATTTACATCTGGCACCAGCCTGGGTGCATCGCTCAAAGCTAAACCAAGAGTTGTTTTTTTCCATTCTTCGTTTTCTGACTAGCTGCTCAGAGAAGGTATCGAAGAGAGTGTGAGAGTCACCTCATGTCACTTTACTTTTTTGTAGCTTACATAAACAACATGATAGAACGGGATGCAGCGGCTAAATATTTAAATTATAATTCATTCACCACAGTTTCTACTTCTGTACTGATGATATCTGCATCTCAGCTGGTTACTCTGATTCCCTTAAAATCAGTGAAAAGAGAGTGCTTTTGAGATGGAATTCATTGCCTTAATTTAGACCACCACATTAAGTTAAGAGGAATCACTCATTAGAAGCACCAGCTGCCTCTGTAAACTATAAAGAGAGCCCAGGATGACTAACTCAGGTGTAGCTGAGATGAGTCACACCCTAAGTAGAGTCCCTGTGTTACCTTGCATCAAGCCATTTATTCAGTATGTACAGAACCAACCAAAAAGCTATGAATGACAGAGATTCTCTCTTATATTTGCATGCAGATGGCTGACTTTACACTTCCTTTAACATCTTCTTTCTTTAACAATCTTTCTTTAACATTCCTCGTAAGGGGGTGTCGAGAGGCAGGAGACCTTTTCTCCATTAACACCAGTGACAGGACCCGCGGGAACGGGGTTAAGCTGAGGCAGGGGAAATTTAGGCTTGACATCAGGAGGGGCTTCTTCACAGAGAGAGTGGTTGCACACTGGAACAGGCTCCCCAGGGAAGCGGTCACTGCACCGAGCCTGTCTGAATTTAAGAAGAGATTGGACTGTGCACTTAGTCACATGGTCTGAACTTTTGGGTAGACCTGTGCGGTGTCAAGAGTTGGACTTGATGATCCTTAAGGGTCCCTTCCAACTCAGGATATTCTATATTCTATATTCTATCTATTTGTATCACCTACTCTGCCTACTGTAAAATGTAGCTTGACATTATTACAACTATTGATTATTTTTCACCAAGTTTCTGATATGCATGTACATGTATGCTATTGATTCTGATTTATGACCACATTGCTCAGGCTGGTTTCTTTGGTTTTGCTGTTTTTAAAAGACATTTTTCCTGGACCTTACTACATTTTTACACGTTGCCCTGGGATTATTTCTGCATTTTTCAATTTTCTCTCTTGATGTAAAGCAGATTGCTGTAACTAGTTAGGGTGTTTTTACATCATCCCTTCAAAATGTAGTATGTAGAAACACAAGTTCTTCTATAACTGTTGGTTTCCCTATCTGAAGAATTCTCCATAACTCTTCAGAAGTTTTATGGTTCTTAATAAACTATTTTTCATAACATTTTCTCAACCATACTTTGATATTCTGCTTCTTTGCCTGCCACTGTAGATGGTCCTCATCTTCATCCATCTACTTAGCAGTTTGAACACTGCCTGCGGGCCAAAATGCTTAGTTTGTTTCCAACAGCAACAACAAACATAAACCATTTTTAAATGTGTTCTGCAAGGAAAAAATTACCAAGGAGTGTCTGACAGTAGAGGGCTAAAATAACAAACAAAATAAATTCAAAGAGCAAAAAGAATTAAAGGGATTTGAGAAGCTGTTTCATTCATTCATTCATTCATTCATTCATTTAAATTATGTTTCTTGGAAAAAGAACCCCCTTTTTTTTTTTTTTAACTTCCATGGAAGTTGAAAAGTCTGATAAATTCTGTATATGCTCTTTGCCTCACAGTTGTTCTTTCTGTAAATACCTCTGGTTCAAGGAGCAGAAAAGGTGATTTTCAGTGTCATTAATGGTCATGGCATGATTACAAGTTTACCTAGTGACCTTTTCTTGCTACTTGATTAACATATTTGACCCACCATTCAAACTCATGCAACCTAATAGAGGAATTTGATATTAAGGTCAGCATATCTTCGTCTTCTCTGTCTAAAGCCTCTCCTATCAATTTCCATATGTGGAATTTTTCTAAATGGTTCCACTGAATTCAAATAAAATAAGAAATCTAGCCTATGATGTAAATTTCAATATACTACTGAGATACAGTTTCTACTTGAGAATTTGAGATCTTAACACTGGACAGGGCATGTTTAAATTGCTCAGAGCCACTGAGAATGGAGCTAAGCCAGATGAAATAGCTACTGACTAGTCAATTTGATATCTATAGTTTTTCGGATGACCAGAGACATGTTCAGTCACAACTTGAGAGTATTTTCTCTAACTTTTGTTTTGTGGTGATAATATTTCAGGAGCAAGCGAGTAAGGAACCCCTTACTGTAGGTGCTGTGGAAATATATACCTTGCAAAGTGTCAGTCCTCACTCCAAAATTTTTAATGAGAAGATGTCAAGCATATAAAGCAAACAATTAGATCAGGACTGAAAGTATTTAAAATACATTCAAAAAAATGAAAAATTTGGGGGCAGACTCAGAAAGAATTCAAAGTCCTCTCTCCAGTTATTATTAGTTTTCAGGTCCACAATAGTTGGACCTGAAGTAAGTTCTGACAAGAAATCTGAAAAGGGAAAATGGAATTGCTGCACCTAGACTAACCTAACTTCCCCTCACCTATAGCAGTAACTGGCACAAGTACAGATGTTCTTGAGAGGGAAGCAAACAAGATTGTAAATGAAATACTTGCCCGGGACAGAGTAAAGATGGAAATTCACAACTCGAAGAGGTAGGTGTGAGACCCATCACCCCAGTACTGCACTGGAAGATTTATCTTTTCTTGTAAAAAGCCAAAGTTTCTACTATTGAGAAGTGAAGAAATAGCAATAATTGTATCAGGTGCAGTGAAAGAAAAGAAGACAGTCCATTAGGGAGGCAGACACTTCTTTAAATGACAGGTAGAGTTTGATTGTGTAATTCCTCAGTAACATCCACAAATCCCCATTACTTTTTAATTTCATAAAGCCTTGTTCAATTCTAAAGGTTAATGCACAGCTCTGCTCCAGCTGTCTGTTCCCTACTGTTTGAGAAATATTTAAAATTTTACTTAGGTCAGGGCAGAATAGTTTAGAAATGAAGGAATAAACACAGAGTATTGTAAGCATTTCAGAACATTCTTAAGACTGAAAACTTACATGGTTAGGAAAGAATAGGGGGAATAGTTCTCATTCTTTCTGAGGTCAACCAGCTAATGTACCGAGGTTACTTCAATGTTTGAATGGCCAAAGAGTTACAGAAAATAAATATGTTCATGTGTTAGAATAGGTATCTGTAACTAAACTAGGAAATATCTCTTCTATTTTTATTTATGTCCACTTTCCAAAGGTACATCATCTTATTAATTATTGATGTGTTCCTTTTAACATACAGCCTTTCAGCAAAGGTCTGAAAATGCTGCATAGATATACATTAATAGAGGTATTGAATCTTACTTCCTGCAGAAGAGGGTCTTTCAGCCTGGCTTTATACTAAACTTACTTCTCTCTGCTGTTAAAGAGTTTACTCTTAGAATTTATAAGCAAATAAATTCCGAGTGTTTTCAAAAAGGAACAATATTGCCACTACTTTGAAAAATTATACTAAGTCAACTGAATTTGGACCTGGTGGCAATAGCGAAACCAGTATTAAAAAATATCTTAAGTACTCAGAAAGCTTCTATTAATTCAGGGGAGGCAAGCTGCTGCATTCAGAAACTGTAGCCAGCACTCCTCAGTGCTACATGTCAGGTTTGTATCCATGGGGATGGACAAAGCAAAGGGCGGTACAAGTGAGCTATTAGAAAAGACACAGAAGACAGTGAGGGGGGAAAAAATAGAGTAAATCCAAGCAATAGATTAAACTACGGAAACATCAAAAAGGAACTAAAGCAATGGAAAAGGGCTACAGAGACATCACATTAAAAGCAGGTCACCGCCATGCCAGCAAGTCTCTCCCAACAGCCAGAGACTGAAAGTCCCACCAGGTCTGAGATCTAATGGCCATGACAAGAAAAAAAAAAAAAAAAAAAAAAAAAAAAAAACTAAGTGGCACTAATGAATGAAGTCCGAAGGGACTACTCAGTTTGATTTTAAAAATATTTCCATCTTTGGCTTTAGATTTCATAGATTTTTCTAGTGTATGCAGACATTGTATACATGAGACTGTACATACAGAAATCAATTTACATGGGCTTTTCTGGAAAAGCATAGAAATTAAGGATTTTATTTTTTTTAAAGCATAATGAGTATATGGCACTTAGTACCAATTTGACACTTTTTAACAGCTTTCTAAGAACTGAGCTACAAGAGGCAAAGTGTTCATTTGCATAATTTAGCATCATATGAGCTAGGACACTTCTTTCTCACCCAAGGCAGTCTTGTATAATAACCTCTGAGGGTTTTGTGACAAGGACAGTTGCAACACACCTGCCTGCCTACCATGAAATTCTTGTAGACGTTCAGAGAGTAGCGCTCAGTATCCACTGAGAATACTACAGTCTGTCAGCCAGAATAAATCGCATATTTGACATTTGTGTGTGAATGGTTAGCATTACTCAAGTCTAGCCAAAAAGGTGAAAACTTTCTTCACTGTGTGAGAAAGTGGAGGACAAACACATGAGCTTACATCTGCATAAATGAAGACTAGCAGCAATGGTGAGATGACATTCAGAATTGCTCATGCCTTTTCAAAACCTCATTTAGGAATGAAATCTTCCTCCTTGACCCTTCTGCTTGAATTACTGTGTCACCTTGAAAATGAAGCATAGCTTTCTTCTCACATATTTTCTCCTATCTCATTGACCTCAGGTAGGAATGCAAGGACAGAACATCCAGTTTTCAACACATATGACACAAACTAAGAAGACGCAGCTCCAGGTTTGTCAAGTAAAGAAGGGGGATGCTGTATTCTGTCTGACAGCTACTTGGCTAAAGCATCCTGACATGACAGGTAAAATGTGAAATCTGGGAATACTTGTTTTTGTTCTCATATCCCAGTCCCAACAGCATTTCCTGAAACAAGCAAAAAGTATAACTGGCTACAGAATCAATAGGCACAATGCAGAAGCTATGGTTCTAACCCAACATCTGTGGAAAGACATCTAATCCTCAAGTTATGTTCTGAGAGCTGACTAAAATTTGAACTCAAAGACTTGCCACCAATGCACCCTGATTTGGCAGTCTCTGTCATTACAGCTCTGGTGCTGTTCAAGACCACATGCATATGTAAATAGGACCTTTCAACAACAGTTTCAAGGAGGAAAAAAGTACCAGTGTGAACAAGATACTGATGGGAGTTTACCATTGAAGTTGTCACTGGTCCCACTGGTCCTATTCACTTGCACTCCTCCAAAAAAACAATCTCCACTTCTCATTATATATGGCCCTCAAGACATTTTCTTCCTCATTTACCCTAGCAGTCATGTAATATCGTGTCATTATTTGCAATAGTGAGAATGCTAACAATCAAAGCTATTTAAAGTGGACTCTCCCTGCTCAAAGCTACAGACCTGCCCAGTTAAGCAGAAGAAATCACTCTTTTAAAATGGAATTCTTACCACACTTTTTCAGAACAAGACACTTCCCAGGAGCCCATAAAGTATATCTGTAGCTTGAATCATCTTCTAACATTAGTGAAATAATAAACAAGTAAATTGTAGACCAAAGTGATAAAATTAGAAATATATTGAGAATAAGAAATGCAATTTTTGTTTGTTTAATAACTGAATGCTCATCCTTCAAAGACCTTTGACATTCAGGTCTGCATTCACCTGCAATGAATCATTTTTATTTTGGATTATTCTGTTGCTTGTTCTTTTGAAGAGTTTGTTGAAGATTTGTGGACTTAAATTCACTATTGAGCAATTTTACACGGAAAAAAAAAAAAAAAAATGAAAGATTCCACACCTCCACTGAAAAATATCTACAGATACACAAATCCAAACATATGCCTGTGCTAAGCTGTTCTGGAAACAGGTCTGTGAATCACCTAGTTTGCTGCTTTTGAAGGAGTTCACTGAGTAGCATCATGGATCAAGTATACCCTACAGATATGCTACAGATGACAGCATGGAGAGCATGGACAGCACGGACAGCATCCAGAGCAAACGGGCTGGAGAGCAGTTGCTACAGCCAGGGGCATGCGCTAGTCATGGTCAGAGCTATTTTCTGGGGCTTGATCCCACTAGGTCCCACTTACACACTTCAGGTTTCATACAAAGAGATGGAACTTAACTGGATGGGAACCACAAGACATCCCAGACATGTGCTATACATTATAGCTCAAATGTGGAGCATGACTGTGCTCATCAAGTAATGAGTCTAAGTGCAGCCCATGCTCTGAGGACACTGAACCCTTCCTGGGTATAAGCAAGAAAACAGCCATTCAACCACTTTATCAATGAAACCAGTTCAGTTTTCTTCAATGAAAGAAGGATACAGAAGCTTTCCAGAGGCGAGACAGCCAACATCTGCCAGGACATACCTTGATCTGGATAAATGCCAAATAAAACCTAGGATGAGGATAAAAATCAAATATACATTAATCATACAAAAATTCAAAAATACCTGTTAAGCTTATTTTAGAAACTTACAGAAGATTCTTTCAAACAGTACATTAAATCTTAAGATTGCTTTCCATATTTTCAGGTATGCTTTCCCCACAGCTGAAAAGTGGCCCAGAGACACATACCAAGGACAAATAATACTTACTGTCAAAGGCACTTGTTCAATATATGCCATCCAAGTGTTTCTTAGGACAAAGGAACTAAATCTCTTCAACTAACTGTCTCACAGCATCACAGGATAGGTGAAATTAACAGCCAAAATGGTGATGAATTTACATGGAGAGGGAGGTACGATGAAGACTAAGAACAGCTCTAGTGGGAGAGGGAAGGAAAGGAAAGCAGACTGAAAAGTGCTGGGAACAGGACAGGAAAACAAAATCTTGCCTGGAGTATATCAGCAAACAAAGCCAAGGAGAGAACATTTCTCATAGAATGACAAAGTCAACCAGCGGAAGAAGGAAGGAGAACAGAGTGGTGAAAAAGGGAGAAGAAGTCAGAAAAAAAGAACTGAGAATGGGAGAGGTTTTTTTAAAGACATGCTGGGGTCTCTGGTCTGCCTAGAGAGCACAGATCTTCTCTTGTATTTTTGTAGATTTTCCTTTCAACAGTCATATTCTGGGGAGTTCCTGCCTACTCTTACTGACTGCTAGTGCTCACTGGTGGGAACTGCTCCCAGCTGCCCTTTTTCAGCAGCCGCTCAGAAAAGCAGAGGACACAAAAATTTTTTATACATTTTAGTGGCTTCCATGAAAGAATGGCTGCTCAAAGGGATATAGGAGGAGATACACATTTTTCTAGAGGAAAAACCTACCAACATTCCCCAAGTTTTAAGCAACATCTGAAGACCCGTCTTAACTTCAAGAAGGAAACACTGAGGACACACTAATTTAAGTTAAAACTGACTGCTCAAACCCAGCTACCTGCCCTACTACATTGTCCAGGGTGGTGGCTAGTGCACTGAGCAGTTGTCTGATTAGGCATAAGAACCTGCACAACATTTTTGTGTTTGTTTTTTTTTTTTTTTTTGCCATCTTGCTCCCACCCTTGATACATTTTTTATTACCAAAGACTAAATATCACAACTTGTTGTGATATTACAACTAATTGTAAGAAATTTAATAGAAAGAGGGGGAAAGGATTGCCAATTCAATACTTACAGAGCAGACAACTACAAAGATAAAAAGACCTGAAACTTTCAGGAATTTTAGACAGCACCTGAAAAGAAAGAAACATGTATTTACTGAATGATAATTAAAAATAGAAATTAAAAAAAAAAAAAAAAAAAAAAAAAAAAGTACTCTTAATAGTTCTGCCATTTCAGAAATATCATGTTGAGCACTTACAGGTGATATCACACCATGTCAGAGTGTGAACAAAACTACACAGGGTCAGCAAAGGATTAGGAAGCCTTGGTGACTATAAGGGCTTTCTGTCCCCACTCTGCCACCAGGCTGCTCTTAATGCATGGGAAAGAGGTTTTATCCCTCAGGAAAGCCAAGTGAATGCTGCAGCATGAGCTGGTGCTGGGACCTGGAGCCACTTCCCTGCTGCTGCTGATGGCTCCCCAGAGACCCAAAGCACCTTTAATTCTTCCTGACCTCTCCCAGGGCTGCAAAGGAAACCATAGCCACTGCAGGAGGGTGGCACATCTGAGCAGAAATGACAGATTGCTGCATAAGGGATACTGTCATGAATGAATTCCCCAAAACCAGACTTCTAATATGCATCATGAAAGTTATTCATAGGATACCCAATAGGCATCCTGAAAAGATAGTTTGAAGACGAGAGCAAGCTTTAATAATCTCCCAGTTTTAATAGTATATCTTCAAACCAAATATGCTGTGTGAGCATCTCTACATAAACCGTCTAGCAAAACTCAATTTTTTTTTCCATAGCACATCTGTTCCTTTTGAGGGAATGCCCAGTTCTGGAGATTCAATGCCATAAAATCTTCTGAAGTGTCAGAGCTTACTACGGAGTGGGCAAAGCAAGAATAACTCTAAATCCAAATGTTGAAAAATTATGCTCTCAAGTAAGAAATCTTAAGATTTATCACTGTTAAATTACCAGCTCTTTTATCTTACCATAAGAGGCAACTCTTTAATTATTTTCTTGTTGCCCATCAGAATGTTACACAGATGTCTTAATTTACAGAACTCTTTTTGTTATTTGCCCTTATTACATCTCTTCACTAATTGAAGCCACTGATGTTCTCATCACATTTTTTCAAAAGTAAACACTAAATCATTGCTTTTCTGAGGGAATGATAAATGCAAGGTTTGATTTAAGCCTGATGACAAGCAAGAAGAAAAACATTTCAAGTCACTAGGATAATTAGTTGAGAAGGGAACAGTGCAATAAATAGCTCTGTTGACAGATGCTATAGAACAAAATATTAAAGTGGAGTAATCTGGAGTCAGAAATAATTTTTAATCACAGTGGATATAAGTCCCTAAATCGAGTTCATTGACTGAAAGTAATATGAGTGACCGGAGACCCATTTTTTGAAAAACCTTTTTTCCTAAAAATTCCTTCCTCTAGAGTTTTTTTTTTTTAATAAAAAAAAAAAAAAAAAAAAAAAAAAAAACAGTAGCTGATTAAAATATGATGCCACAGTCAAAGTGGTACAAAGGGGCTAAAACATCCTACAAATAAAAAAAAAAAAGAAGTGGTAGCAAGTTTATGAGAACTTTGCACAGGAGAAACATCAGAGAAAGCAAAGGAAGACCAGAAGACAGCTAGGGGGCTTCTTCTTCCAGAAGCACCAGAGAGCCCTGCTCCAACAAAAAACAAGGTAGGGTGGGAGAGAGTATAATAAAGATCTGAAAAGAGAAGAATGACAGCAAAAGTCATTATCAGCACCCCACAGCTGATAATTCTTTCAGCTGATGATTCTTTTAGTATTGTATGATTTATAGAAAATATGTAGTGCTAGCTTTGTCATGTAGCCTCTCTCCTACTTGTCTAGTCTTCCTATCTTCACATCACAGCTGTTTCAGTATTTTTGAGAACTTATCATGTTGTGAACTACTAAAGCCCAGTCCAGATTGGTTTAATTTTAATGTATTTTGTATTTTCTGTTTGCACTTCCAAATTATCATTCCAAATAATAATAATTCAAATTACTGTTGAACCAAGAAACAGCAATAACTAGATTTTAAAACATAAGAGAAATCAAAAAGCATTAATTAAGACTTCATAAATTTATAAACACTTGTCTGCAAATAACAGAAACTCATCTTAAGGAGCTGTCAAGATATAATAAAAAAAGCTTTTGGAAATGGTTATTTTATTAAATGTAGAATTTAAAAGCCTCTTTTCCTCCCATCTGTTTGTTTTCATGGCATTTTGTATTAAGGAAGCAGTGCTTTTAACAGCTTACAGTTGAGAAGCGACGAGCCTTTGACTCGTCCGTGTTTTGCAATCTGTCTCTTTCCAGAGTGCTAATCTGGCACGGTGATGCAAGCACAAACTGCATGCCAAACTCTGTGCTGATATATGCCTCCGGCGCAATCCTATTTGACTTCAGTTGGAAATGCATGAAGTATAAATCTATGAAGGATTTCACCCCCTGTTCTAAACCAAATGATTTTTAGTCTGATCTGCATGTGGTGTCAGGCAGTTTAGCTCCATTTATTATCTCAGCAGAGTTATGCTGAATTACGACAGCCAAGAAGCTGGCCCCATATGTACAACCAGCACTATAGCAATGAAAATATTTCACAGGAAGTTCTGCCAGAGAAATACACCACTCTCCAGATTATAAACGTATGCTATACTGGAAACAATTGATTCTGCTCTCCCGCTCGATGCCTTTGTTCCATGAAATACCAGGGAAAGCTACTGCGAGCGTGAAGAAAGACGCCTGCCAAACTTCTTCACATCTGCTCATATTGCACTAATTGCAGCCATTGAAATTCTCCTGCTCCATTTGTTTAGCAGCGGTGCAGGAGAGTGGCACTCCACACAGTACCATATGCACAATGAAAGAAGGAAAACAATTGTGAAGTGATGAGCTAAGACAACATACAGATTGGGAAAAGAGGCATGGACATCTTGTCAAAAAAGCTCCATGGATCAATACGGAGATGAGGACATGCAGTACTGGGCTCTATGCAAATCTTTAGCACTATTAGTAGAGTCCAAACCAAAGTAGGTAAAAGTGCTGAAACTCCAGAAAAGACAGAGAGAATTAGTATCTGAGATTAAAGAGTTTGTTAGCTACAACCCCAGGTTAAAATATCCTGAGAAAATTTGAATTTAAGCTCTTACTATATTGACATATTTTAATACATTAAAAGATTCAAGGTTATCCTCGCCTAAATGAGGTAAAAGATTACTTTGAGAGTAATCAAAGAATGAAATATATCAATGTACCTAAAGACAAAAAAAAAAAAGTCCTTGTTTATATTTTGCATTGTGTATCTGTGAAAAGCTACTGTCATGACTCCAGAAATCATTGTTAGTACCTAGAAGACTGTGTATGTATATATATATTTTAATTAAAGACAAATATTTCATAAAAGCACGCTGAAAAATAAATCCGGAGTAAACAAAGAGGCTTTTATGAAATGGCTTTCAAAATGTTAAAAGCAATAAAGACAGTATGTAATTTCAAATTTAGAATAGGAGTTGTGATTAATGCTTCTAAGAACAAGGGGCTATTGATCACTAGGCTGTAATCAATGTCATCAGGGTTTATTTATAAATTATCAATAGTAAAATATGGCCTAAATATGGAGTGTTATTTTATTCATTTGCAGAAAATAAAACATTTTCTAGCCAGCTACACTTAAAAACTAAAAATAATGAAAAAAAAAATGCAAAAGCTAAGTAACTGAAGATTTGAATTCAGACCTCATCTTTGATAAATTGAACTTGGCATGAAGGTTGTCCAAGATTTCATATTTCTCAGAAGAAGCAGATCTAGACAAACTGGTCATTTCACTTCCCAGTTGAAATCTTTGCTCAAATTCTGCAGAGCTGTTGTCCCATGAATCATCATCTGTGGTAAAATCTGGATTGTGAATAGCCATGCACAGCAACCTGTCACGCATTTTCAGTAAATAAAAAAAATAAATAAAACAAAACAGTGGTTTATTTCAACAGACAGTATATGTAACTGACCTTACATATTCTTAGCTTCATTATGATGTATTTCAATGGAAAAACAAAAACATAGATTTACATGTATTCAGTACAGAGCTCCCCTTGGTGATACAGCTGGGTAGACAGCAGATCAAAGATAAAGACCTCATGATGCTTCAGGTGTACCTGAGAGAATCAGCATTTTGAAGTACCAGGCATACATGCTTCAGGATTTAGTGTGTAAACTCCTCATCAGAACTGGGCATATAGCTTTGCTATATCTTGCAATGCACCTGATGTAACACCACATGAAGCAAAGGAGAGCAGCTGCCTGTCCTAAGGACTCTCTAATCACCCTGACCTCAGACCTTACATCATTCCCTGTCCCATTTATAGCCCCTTCTTTCCACTCAAGTTCCTCCAAAGTAATTCTCTGCTTGCAACCCCTGACATTCACTTTATTTCCCATCAGGTTTGCTGTCAGGATATAAGAAAGAACCATGCACAATTAAATACAAGAGAACTTAGAAAAAAAAAAAAAAAAGTATTTTGAGTAAAATGAAAGTAACCAACCCATTGTCCTCTGAGGAGACCTTCAGCAGTGGTGTCTTCTCTGTAAAGCAAGTGTTTCTTGACCTTGAGCTGAATAATTTGGAGAAATTGAAGTGATACCTTTGGAGAGAGGGAAAAAAGAACAGTTAGTTTGCATTGCAACAATTCACTGCAATTCTACAGAATATTTTGGTACAAGAGCATCTAATTAGTTTAATTTAGGAATGGTGTTTGCCTAACTTATGGTTTTCACAAAGCGTGAACTAGTCATAGTAGTTACTCCCTTACAGTCATGGTGACCAAACGAGAAATTTACCTCATCTTAAAAGTGGTGTCTAAAATAGTCAATGAAATTCCCTCCAAATGCCAGATGAGCAATATACAAATAATCAACACTTGGATGCTTACATTTCACAGAGCTTAAATTTACAGTGGAACAATTGCACTGTAAAAAAAAAAAAAAAAAAAAAAAAAAAAATCTTAAGGAAAATAATTACATATATTCATGTAAGTTGATGTAAGTATACCATAGAAAACAAAATAAAATGATAATATTTGTTCCACATGTGTCCTTTGGGTCATACATGTAGATAACAGAAATCTAGTAAACTCTACAGCAACCATGCCCCCCTTTGCACAGGGAAGAAAGTTTTATCTGAAGTACATCATCCCTACAGCACGACCACTTCCAAACAGTTTCTGTCAAGTCTTGGTACTGGTGCTGCAGATAATTAACCAAGATCAAGCTATGTCTTGCCATATTGCAGCTTAGCATTTTTACTTTTTGTTTGCTAAAATATAAATCCTGAAGTTTAAGGGACAGCTGAAGAGAATCAAACACAATAAAGGGGGTCTGACTTTGGAGCAAGCATCTGGGAGAGATGAAATAATTGAACCATTTAGAGCACTTTCCAAAACCCAGCTCTTCCAGAGATGTTTCCCATCAATACAATCATTATTCAGATGCATTCAAATTCACTCCTTTCATAACTTCAGGCACTCACCACCAGAATGCTCCAAAGAAATTTCCTAGACATATAGTCAATATGTAGATGTCTTTACTCCAGAAGACATCTAGATTTGATGGCCACAACTATAAGAAAACCTAAAATGTCTTTTACTATTCCTGGACTGTGAGGGAAAAAATTATAAAGTAATCGACGAACAAATTAATATTCAAATGCAGCCCTTTAAATATAAAGGAAGTCTAAAAATAAGGATCTGTGTGTTTAACCTTATAATACAGTGGAAGATAGTGGTATTCCTTTCAGTTTATAGAGTTATATGAGCCTGCATAGGGTCACAAAAAAGACCAAGAGACTGGAGCCCCTCTCCTGTGAAGGAAGCCTGGAGGAGAGGAGGCCCAGAGGGGAATCTCATGAGTGTCTATAAACACCTCAAGGGAAGGTACAAAGATGGAGCCAAGATCTTTTTAGTTGTGCCCAGTGCTAGGACAGGAAACAATGGGCACAAACAGGCCCCCAGGAGGCTCCCTCTGAGCCCCGGGAGCACTTCTGTGCTGTGCGGGTGAGGAGCCCTGGCACAGGCTGCCCACAGAGGCTGTGGGGTCTCCTCCTTGGAGATCTCCAAAAGCCGCCTGGAGATGGGCCTGGGCAGCCCGCGCTGGGTGGCCCTGCTGGGGCAGGCCTTGGTCCTGATGGCCTCCAGAGGGCCCTTCCAACCTCAGCCACTCTGTAACTATGAAAATTCAGACTTTGTAAAATTAAAACCTCTGGTTAATGCTTCAGCTTTCTTGTTGAGTAGTGTTACCAATTCAGGAGCCATGCTAGTTGTGTAGAAAATGGATATGGTTATTTTAGCCTTGAGTGGGCAAAGTACTTCTTCAAACTCTGCTTTAAGCACCATATTTGCAGTCTCAATAAGAGAGAACAAAGTGCTAGAGAGACTGAATTATCCAGTACATCAGGTCAAATGCTGGACAGATTAGAATTCAGGTGCTACATTGCACTGACACTTCATCTGTGAAGAGATGATTGCATACTTTGAAACTATCGAAGTACTTCCTTTTTTTAAATAGGAGAACATCATTCACACAAAATGTTTTAAGTGGAGAAACTCTGATATTTTACAGCAAGTGCTATTTTAATCTTATCATAGCCTTAGATGTAAAAGATTACCTAGAGCTTTCACAGAATGGAATCCATAAGGAGAGTAAAAACACTATTAGGACTTTAAGCGTGTACTCAACAAGCAATACTGATATGCTTCTGGCTGATCCTGGCATTCCTCTACATTTGGAATTTGCATCCCAAGGTGACACATTTAATAAAAATTCTGATGGTAGGCCTTGAACTTGCACATTCAGAAATTTAACTGATGCAAAGACTGATTAGCTGTTTCCGATGTTAAAAAAAAAAAAAAAAAAAAAAAAAAAAAAAAAAGATGCCATTTGTTTCACACATGCACACACACACACACACAAAAGAAAGAAAAAGATTCCAAAAAGTATTGTATTGTATGCTATTCTGCTCTAACCTTACATTGTGCGTACCACTAACCTTTCCACACTTACTTTACTTCTTTTCCTCATAGGACAGGTGCAAAATCTAAGATCAGTAACCAGAAAACTTTCTACAAAAACATCCATTTTCTTCCATTTAATTGTTAGTGTATTACCTAAACTGCTTTGTGTTATCTTTCTGTGTGTGTATATATAGAGAGAGAGAAAGAGAGAGAGAGATAGACAATCCCCATCCTCAAGCACCAGTGAGGGCTGATGACAGCGTGCTGCCACCACAAACCTGTTGGGAATTGGCATACAGGACGTGGACATGCACCCGTGGAACAATTGTTCAATCTGAGCTTGCCTTAAGCAACCAGGAGTAGGCCTTAGAAAATCTCATGGCCTGCTGTAGCTGAGCAAACCAAGCTACCAGAGTAACTGTGAGAAGCTCCCACGGCAATGACTCCCACATCGCCCAATTAAGGAACTCAGAAAAATATTGTTACCAGCAGCTGGCCTCAAGGACAAGGTCTACGTGACTGCTAATCACAAGGGGGGTTCTTTTCTTGCAGGTGGGGTTGTTTTCTTGTAGTTGTTTGTCTGAGTGCTTTTGACCAATAATCTTGTGTGAAACACTGTCCACCCCTGTTAAGTTCTCTGTAAAAGTTAGGCTATTCGGGCAATAAAATGGAGCATGATCTGACTCTACTGGTGTCTGTCGTGCTTTCGGCCGTGCTTCCTGCAACACAAACCCACCATGTCCTGCCACAGTGCCCAGGTCTGCAGGGCAGGGACTCGTAACACACCACTCCTCATATGCATGAAAAGGGAAGCAGAGAGTGGAACAACTGATCATGCTGCCTCTATGTAAAGACTCTTGCATGGTAGTTACATGTGAATTCAGAAAAACTAGTTCTGAAACTGCTTTTAACCGAGAAGCTTCCCAATACTGAGCTGAAGTACTGATAGCAGAACAGCTGGAGCAGTACAGAAACACTGGCAAGTTAAAAATTGGCACTTTGTGTGGACATCCTCGGGTAAGCATACGTTCAGCTTCATCACAGACATGTCAGAGTTGATATGTTCTGCTCTTTATCCCAGAGTGCACAGTAAGTCCACATCACTACCATGAGTGACCACTGTGCAAACAGTGCTGCAGGGCAACGCAACTACAGCTACAGCAACCAGGCAGAGGCCCAAGGTTTGGTGGAAAATTATTTAAATGGCCAAACATGAAGTGAAGAATCCAGAAGGCTAGTTAAAGACATTACTCTCTCTTTATTCTGTGCATCTGTTATCCCCGCTGACTGGTATATGTCTTGAAATACTTAAATGGGACTACAGAGCTTCACAGATTGCCAAGAAGGGCCAATATAGTAAAATTGGGAAGGTTCTTCAGATAAAATGAAAGCCATTAGTACATGACAACATCAATTTGTAAAGAGTAAAAACACATGGACAAGAATAAGCAGCAGGAAACAGCCAGGCTTGACAAAACAAAAATAATTAGAGAAAAAGCAGGAGAGCTTCAACTCCCCCATGATGTGATTACCCTAATTAGAGTATGAAAGTAATATAAACAATAAAGCTAATTAGGGCATAAAAAAATCTTGAAGGCTGAAAGCTCTAGAAAGAAATGTTGGGGAAAAAAATCATGAAAGAATAGCACAGATTATAAAAATGAACATCATCCCAACGTAGAAAGCCTAACGCAAGCACCTTTGCACCTCTCACACTTCTGCAGAGACACTACAGCAGGATTTGATCATCAGCTTCAGATTTTCTCCAAACAAAATGTGGGAAGGCCTAAAGAGCCCTTGCTATTACGAAAGCAAGTCTGCAGTGCTCAAAAATGCTAGCAGCATCATTCTCAATGCTCTTTGGCCCTGCAAGTGGCTGACAATTATGACACTGTGTAAATAAGAGAAAGTAATCTGTGTGACGTATTTCAAAACCTGAGATCAGCTCAAGCTTTGAATGTTATCTTCACAATCGAAACAGATGGGAACTTTGATCATACCTATGCACTACAATGGAGCGCAGTCTCTCTCTAGTGAGCAATTCATCAACATTACCAAGGAGCTAATCACTAGGTCAGCTGGTTAGCATATTATGAATAGATTTGCTCTTAAGATCTGAAGATTTATACTATGTGCAGGTGAGGAGCTGGTAAGCAGGATAACACTTGTGCCCATTGTTTTTCTCTCATGATTCGGAGTCAAAAGTCATTAGCATGTTATACATCATGAGAAGAGGCATGAAAAAATTGCATTTACATATGTGTGAATTTATATGTACATACACATAGACCTTCGCACAAAAGATAAACATTCCCATTTCACTTTCCTTCCAAAGAGATGAGAAAAATACTTTTGCAGAAACACCTTCATTCTTCTGAGACACCGTAACTTAAAATGGCAAAGCATCCAACCAACCAAAATCTTAGCAGAAAGTATTTGATGAGGATTCCTTCAAAGACTCATAAAATAACATTCATGTGGAAAGATCCATATAGAACTGACATTATAAAAAGAAGAGTATGACCTGCCTCCTGTGTAACTGCAGCTGTGGTCACATTCATTTTCACATTTGCTACAACTGGGCTTTTTTTTTTTTTAATTAAAAGAAATCTTTCAAAGAGAAGATTGTGTTCTTA